AACGAGCATGCGGCTCACCAGATGGTAAGTGACTACCGCCCATGAACAACTGCAACATAAGGTAAATGGCAGGTACGTTGCCCTAAGTCGTATCGATCCAAAAATTTCGCCGATAGTAAACGATACCACAAAGAAATCGTGCGAGGAAGAAAACTCCTGTTAGTTCGCACAATAGTGGACCTTCAAATGTCTAGATGGTGAGATGTGCCGCAAGGTGCGTTAGTGTAATTTAGCGGCTGGAATTAGTTGTATAAATAATTATAGTGTATTAAACAATTCCTTAGAAATACTCCCCGTGGTAAATGCTATAGGAAATGCAAAGGGATGCAACAGCTTTCCGCAGTGCCAATAGCTTGCAACAAATTGCCATTATTGTGGGTCTGCGTACTTGTTTTGTAATATCTGTGCATATCTGTTAAAAGTTACATTTTTAAAACAAAAGTTAAGAAGTTTAGGTTTTCAAATTAACTATAATAAATTATTAAATAAAACAGTTATCAGTAATTTTCTAAATAATACTGAATTATAATGATTTGTTTGACCAAACCGACCTAAAATTGTGGTTTTGATAACTAAGCTGAAGCGACTATAGGCCTGCCATACTGAACAACCGACCGAACTGAAAAACCGACATCCGATGGCGAAGAAAGGGTTTATAGTGACACCCTCATGCTAATCAGCGATGTGTAGAGCGCCTCGCCTCTAAATGTAACGATGACCTGGTAATAAGAGATAAAGCAGTTCGATACCGCAAGGTAGCTCAAGACAGTGCTTTTTGGCACTCCTTGGGGAGGCCTATGTTCAATAGCGGACTTGTGAAGGACTTTAATAATGATGACGTAGATAATTTTTTATTAAAAGCACAGGTATAAAAAAAGTTTGAATGTTCCTTAACTTTAATAAAATTAACAGATATTGCGTTTTATGTCATAGTGAAAATTAGTTATATATATCTTCGTGTTGTAGATCTAGTAATATTACATCAGTTTGACTGCCTCGTTATTCTAGTGGTCGTTAACGCAGCTGCTTAACATAAGTTCCTGTGTTCGAATCACGGGTCGGACCAAAACTAAAAATAAATAATTGACTTTTTATGTCAAGAACTTCTTAGTAGCAGCCCAAAGTCTAAAAGTTAGAAATTTGGCAGCGTTTAAACCCCTTCGCTCCGGAAAGCTCGTGATGCCGTTGGTCCTGCGCCTGATCTCTCTCCGATCGTGCCGCATTGCCGTCCTATCGGACTATGATATTGAGAGAATAGATAATGCACCTGCGCTTACGCATACACTCGGGCACTATAATTCCATCCAGGCTAGTTTCTGATAAGGCTGGGCGCCCTGACCGAAATTCGGTCTGAAGAATAAAACAATTATAAAGAGAAATATGTATTAATCAGTAAAATTTCGGTAAGAACTCTGTTGTAACTCCAATATTACATCTGCCTTACACGAAATAGTTATACCGTCATATATCAGGCAACACGGTCATACTTTTATATCTCATAGGGGGATGTCCATTTATCAAATGAGCCCAAAATGGGGAAATTCACCTAAATCTAATTAAAAGAGAGAGGTCAATAAAAATCTCATTTATCTAATATGAATATTGTCCGTGTGAGGAATATTTGCCATGTTGTGGCGGCGCAAGGTACGAGGTGACTGAAGAAGAAGAAAGCAACTTAGTAATAATAAAATTACTGCAGGTGCTAACCCGCCTGCCAAGCGTGGCAACTATGACAAGTATCCTCCCTAAATGGCAATTTATGTAGAAGGCCTATATTCTGCAGTAGACTTGTGATAGGATAAAGAGTAATAATAATACGAATAGTGAAAAAAGTAGGTAACAACCCAGAAGACAAGACTGTTGTCGATTAGATCAAAATTATACGGGTACATAATTTTCCCGTGCGGCACTGGTACTGCCTTTCAATTAGAACGATAAATTAAGTAAACTGCGTTTTACGTTCAACGGAGCACTGAATTTTGCAGCGCCGTACGGGTGCCCTCGTTAATTGCGCACGTCCAGGGAAACGCTTCACGAATTTGATCAAACACCAACGTTTACTGAAAATATTGACTTTAAATTCTTAAAAATTGTTAATTTATTTTATTTATTTAGGATAACCAACAAAACTTTTTTTTATTCTTGTTTTGTTTAGGGATTTTTGTTTGTTAACATATCAATCCCATTAAAGCGAACTTAAAAGTTACACATTTGTTATTAATCTGCACATACCTAATGCAATATCCAAGGTGGGGGCATGTAGGATGCCCTGCAAAATACCTATATTGTACACATTTATCTTATATGTCCTTGCAAATAATTCATTTGCACCTCGGTTCCGCCCACATTCCTTTAAAAAACGATGTAAGTCTTCATCATTTTTAATGGAATGTGAGCGGAACCAAGGGCAAGACTTAATATTGACAGTAATATTACACATTATTATTAACTTCTAATCTCGAATTCATACAAGTGATTTTTTTATTTTACCACTTATCATATTCTTGCATTGTCATCCGAATTTGTGTTGTAATCTAAGTTTTCAATTTCCAGCTCATCGGGAACTTAGTTTAAAATCAAATACTAAAATCCACCGGAACGACTGACAGACGAACAAGAAAGTGACTTAGTAAAAACATGGTAAAAGGAATGTTCGTTCGTGATTAACTAAATTGCAAAAAAAATTAGTCAGTTCTTCACATTTAGCCCGCGCACTTTTCCAGATTTATTTTTGATTTGATTTAAAAAATAAATTAATATAACCGTTGCTGATTCCGAGTTCAATTTTTATACTTCATACCTAAAAGTTTTTCACGAAATTTTCAACACAATTATTGTTCTTTTATTCATATAGCATTATATAGTAGTTTTTTAATATTCTAAAAAATTAGTCAAAAGAATTAGTTAGTAATTCAATATTTTAAAAAATTTGCAAAATTAGTAAGACCACTCTATTTATATCCATCTTATACTAATGAAACATCTTAACATATACAAAGTTATCGTAAATTAGTGGACAACAGCTACAATTAGTTGTCATGCTGCGGCTACAACGAGCAACGTCAATGCCCATAAACGCAACAATTATTGCCTTAAATTTAACGCGATAAAATGAGTGGCTACACTTGAACGGTCAACGTCGTTTCCCGTTGAACGGCATTAAATTTGCCGTTGAACGGCGTTAAATTTGCCGTTGAACGGCGTAAAATGTTTCGCACGGGGAAGGACCACACTCTCACAGAATACCAGCGTAAAATAGTAGCTTAATGCTGCTGCGTTTCGTATGGAGAGTGTAGAGAACCGGAGACTCTTTTTACTGGAAACGAGGCATTCCATCCTAGTCCTCACGGGTGACAACGCATCTGCATTTTGATTCGTAATCGAGGATAGATATGTAGATGTCTATGGGCTACAGCATCTACATACGTGGACTGTGTGCTTGTTTGTCACCCTATCCTATAAAATAAAAAAATAAACAAAGAAAAAAAGAATGCAAAGCAAAAGAACATGGTGGATGCTACAAATGTACAGGAAACGTACACTGTAAATCTATTTATGTTTTATTTTGTTTTCCCGCACCCAAATTGCACTTGAAAGGCGTTCAATGGTTTAAGCTAAATAATAAGACAAATGTAAATATATTTTAATGAAATAATAACTAATAATCATAAATACTGGTCAAGTGCGAATTAGATACACGTACCCAGGGTTTCGTACCACTGTACACTATGAATTTTGACCTGCAAAAATTGTTTTTTTCTCTCCTGCTTATTTTTCTTAGTTTCATACCGTAAATTAAAGTACTTTTGAAATATTTTTTTTAATTCAATCTCGAAAAGCTTTTTCATTACTCCACTCCATCGCAGCCATACGTGCAACCCCGTGGCACTCACCGTGCACAATAAGACAAACGTAGTGTGGCCGCTTCAACGCGATAATTCGCGCGTTAATCCTTTCATGTACCGCCACTCGAGTTATCGGCAAACGGGAAACGGCATTGTTAATGCCGTTGTCAAATTATCGCGTTAATTCGTGGCCACACCTACATTCAACGTCCATCAACGCGATAATTAACGGCATTTCTCCTTAGTGTGGCCGGGCCATTAGTAAGATTATTGCCTATAAATCACACACAACGTACACATACTGTAATGGCCACGTGCAGGTGACCCCTGCGGTATTATTAATTACTCTTATAAGCCGACGACGCGGACCGAATGCTTGATGGAGCGTGGAAATAGGTGTTTTGGAATCCCACTAAATAATACGATATATTCGAGTCACATCCGTAACCATCCATTTCACAGAAAAAGTACTTCGCTCGTTAATTCTGAGGATGAAATTAATACTTAGACTCTATAATTATCCGACTCAATCTTTTATTAAATGTTATATCAATACCGTCGTCATAACAACCCTTCCTTATTATATTAATTTGTTCATTATTAACAAAATGAAATAAACTGTTTTAAGTGATTTCTTATATTTACGCGAATACACAAACATTGAATAAAACTATGGTTCATAAAAGATAGCTTGATCTCTGCGACAGCTGTCAGTAAAAATCACGCCTATGAAATCCTGAATTTCTTAGTAGTATAGACAGTACCTATCATTGACTTACTTTATGGGCATGCCGACCTAATTAGTGCATGCCCATAAAGTATGTCATTGACAGGTACTGTCTGTACTACTAAGAAATTCAGGACTTCATAGGCGTGATTTTTACTGACAGCTGTCGCAGAGATCAAGCTATCTTTTATGAACTATAGTAATACATTCCGAAACTTAACTAACTAGTTTATGAACTTTATCACCCTCGATTATAACTTTTACCATGTTTTGGCGGTGTTGGATACAATATACCTCATCATATCGTGGATCTAAGCGGCGACAGAGACAAACAATTCAGGAGATCGGCAGCATTGTCTTTCTAATAACTACTAAATAACTGAGGTGGCAAACCCGCTCTGGGAGAATATTTGCCAAGCGTGTCAACTATGGCTATGATGCCAACAATCGACCCAACAATCGACACAACAATCAACCCAACAATCGACCCAAAAATCGACCCGACAATCGACCCAAAAAATGACCCAACAATCGACCCTACAATCGAACCAACAATCAACCTAACAATCATCCCAACAATCGACCTAACAATCGACCCAACAATCGACCTAACAATCGACCAAACAATCGACCCAATAACCGACCTAACAATCGACCAAACAATCGACCCAACAATCGACACAACAATCAACCCAACAATCGACCCAACAATCGACCCGACAATCGACCCAACAATCGACCCGACAATCGACCCAAAAAATGACCCAACAATCGACACAACAATCGACCCAACAATCGAACCAACAATCGACCTAACAATCGTCCCAACAATCGACCTAACAATCGACCCAACAATCGACCCAACAGTCGACCCAACAATCGATCCAACAATTGACCTAACAATTGACTCAACCGAACCAACAATCGAACCAATAACCGACCTAACAATTGACCCAACAATCGACCCAACAACCGACCTAACAATCGACCTAAAAATCGACCCAGGAATCCAAATAACAATATACCCAACAATCGACCAAACAACGGACCTAACAATCGACCAAACAATCGACCTATTAATCGACCCTACAATCAACCCAATAATCGACCCAACAATCGTCCCAACAATCGACCCAACAATCATCCCAACAATAGATCCAACAATCGACCCAATATACGACCCAACAATCGACCCGACAATCGACCCGAGACCCAAAAATTGACTCAAAAACAGACCTAACAATCGACCCAACAATCGTCCCAACATTCGACCCAACAATCGACCCAACAATCACCCAACAATCTACCCAAAAATTATCCCATCAATTGACTCAAAAATCGACCTAACAATCGACCTAACAATCGATCCAACTATCGACCCAATAATCGACCCAAATATCGACCCAACAATCAGCTGAACAATTGACCCAACACTCGACCCAATAATCGACCCAACAATCAACCACAATCGACCGAACAATCGACCCAACAATCACCCAACAATCGACCCAAAAACCGACCCAACAATCAATAATCGGAAGGAACCCAAATAACAATATACCCAACAATCGACCAAACAACGGACCTAACAATCGACCAAACAATCGACCTAATAATCGACCCTACAATCAACCCAACAATCGACCCAACAATCGTCCCAACAATCGACCCAACAATCATCCAACAATCGACCCAAAAATCGAACCAACAATCGACCCAACAATCACCCAACAATCGACCCAACAATCGTTCCAACAATCGACCTACTACCCTACCTAATTAACATTAGTTCCGCGCGCTCGCACTCAGCGTACGGACGTGTTGCTCATTATTATTTCTGTATTTCGTAGGTAGTACCAAGTAAAATGGTTCAGTGTAGAAAGTGCAAGTTATTTGTTTCTTTAGCAAAAGATGATGTTATTAAGTGTAAAGGTTCATGTGACTCTGTGTATCACAAAAAATGTTTATCGAACGTAAAGGAGTTCCAAAGCACCCAGCTGTGTGAATCATGTCTCAAAAGTGAAATCAGCCCTAAAACGCAAGTACCTAAAATTAATGTAGATATTGGGAAAGCTAGTGCCGAAACGCTTCTAGCATAGGTCAATAAAAAACTGGAAATAATTTAATCAAACACAGAAGAAAATTGATGACCTAACAGAGGCCGTGGATTTCTACGCGGAACAGTACCAAATGATGCTTAACTTTAAGGAAGCCGCGGAGAAGAAAATGACTGCTTTGGAAAATAGAAATAAGTATTTACAAAAGTGCAACGACTCCTTAGAAGAGAGGATAATGTTTTTGGAACAAAGAGAAGTGGAGAAAAATATTGAAATAGCGTGCCTGGATGAGTCAGAGAAGGAAGATACAAAGAAAATTGTTGAAATTGTTGCACAGAAATTAAATTTAAACATTGGTAATATAGAGGACGCAAAGAGGGTAGGTCGAGAAAAGAAAGGAGAGGGTAGGCCGAGACCTATAGTCGTAACCCTACGAACCAAGTATATAATAAGGAAATTCTCGACAACAACAATGGCAAGCGGGTGTATATAAATGAAAATCTTCCTAAAAATACGCGACAATTGTTATGGAATACGAAGAAAATGTTAAAAGACGTCTATAAACACATATGGCCACAAAACCTTAAAGTTTTGGCTAAAAAGACGATAACTCGAAAATACGCTGGATCCGTTCGGATGCAGATATCAATAATATGTGTTTCAATACTGATAACAGCAGCGTATAGTAAATAAAACACAATAAATTAGTATTGTGGAAGCTCACTGTATGTGAATACCTAAATCCACAAAATGGATGATATTTTATCACACATCGAGGATATAAATATGAGTATAAAAAATTTTCTAGATGCAAATGCGTGGAGCACATACTTAAAAACATCCACGGAGGACCTAAAAATAATTCACCTAAATATTCGTTCTCTTAGGAAGAAGTTTAATGAATTGCTAATATTGCTTGAGCGCACAAATTTTAGTATAGACATTTTATTATTAAGTGAAATAAATATCAGACAAGCGGAGCTGCCGTTATATGGTATAGATGGGTACGATATGCACGGGTTTACAAGAGAAAATCGACGAGGAGGAGGCTTATTAGTGTACTCTAAAAATGAATTGCGCCTGCAAACAGTAAACCCGCAAAGCTGTGGTTTGGAAATATTGCACAGTCAACTTAAGAGCTCTGACACCACCATACACGTAATCACCGTATACAAACCGCCAAACACAAATAAGTTATGCTGTATTCAAGAATTATCTGTACTAATTAAGCAAATTCCCGAATACGAGGACGTCATTATTGCAGGTGATATGAATATCAACTTATTAGAAGAAAAAAACAACCACCGATACATACAAAAACGCAATGTATAGTTACGGAATGCAGAGCGTTATCAATGACTGTACTCGCGAGGAAATATTAGCCGGTAGACTCGTAACGTCGTGCATTGATCATGTGTGGGTACGTACACGCAGCCGCCGATTCGCATCACATATGTTTACGTGTAAGTTGTCGGATCACTATATGGTAGGTGTAAGTATTACCAAAGAATCAAAAGGGGTAAATAGAATAAGTCTTACTAGTGGCAAATATAAAATGTATACTTTGAATAATAAAGTAATAACTCGTGAATTAGAGCAGGTTGATTGGAGTAAGCTCGTAGAGATAGACTGTCCTTTGATAATTTACGAACAATTGTGTAATGTTTTTGCACCTATCTACGATAAAGCTAAAGTTAGCCTTAATTGTAATAGAAAAAAAAACGAGTAATACAGCCGTGGATCTCTAAAAAAATTAAAATATTGATATATAGAAGAGATTATTTATTCCGCAGGTGGAAGACTAGTCCTCAAAATGTTACTTATAGATTAGAATATATAAAACACAGAAATCAAACAAATAAAATTATAAACAAAGCTAAAAATAATTATAGAAGGCAGGAACTATCACGCTGTCAGGGAGACTTTAGGAAATTATGGGAAACAATAAATTGCTGGCTAGGAAGTTAGTCAACTAAATAGTAAAAAATCACCAGGTTTAGATGGAATAAGGCCGCAAGATTTAATTTTAGTTAAAGAAAAAATAAATCCAATATTAGCAAAATTTGTAAACCTTAGTTTTAAAACAGGCTTATACCCAGACAGTTTAAAAAAGTCTATTATCCGCCCTGTTTATAAGCAAGGAGACCATTTCAATTATTCAAACTAATGACCTATTGCAATATTGTCTGTTATTAATAAAATAGTGGAGAAAGTGATAGTTAAGAGAATTAGTGAGTATCTAGAAAAAAAAACTGCATAATTACAGAAAAGCAGCACGGTTTTAGAAAATTACGTAGTACAACGACGGCCTTATCTATTTTCACCGACGATATCAACGAATGCTTAGGTAGTAAGCAGTATGTATTTCTTCAATTCATAGATTTTAAAAAAGCGTTTGATACGCTGGACCATGAGCAGCTGTTGGTGGCTATGGAAGAGTGCGGAATCCGCGGGCCAATCAGCTCATGGTTTCGTAATTATTTACATAACCATTTGTCATGGTAAATTAGTTAGTACTGGAGTTCCTACTGGCTCTGTGTTTGGCCCTATGGGCTATATCATGCATGTAAATAGCATGGTAAACGTTGTAAAAAATTGCAGAACATACGTGTATGCTGACGACACATGCATGATGTATGCTGACAGGGATATAAACGTGATTGAGAACAAAATACAATCAAGTTGATTGTTTGGTCCCACGATAATGGAATAATTTTAAATATAGAGAAAACGAAATGCATGCTCATACAATCGCCATACCTGCATAAACCATGTATACCTATAAATATCATAGGCCATTCGTATGATTGCTTGCATAGAAATAAACAATGCATTGGTTGTAAATTGATTGAGCTTGTTGATAATTACAAATACTCGTATCTAAGATTAACCATAGATACTAAGTTTAGTTGGAATTTCCATATAGAACGAGTATGTAATAAATCGTTATTATGTAAGTTTGTACACCTTAAAAGTGTAGTTGATAAAACAACTTTACGTATTCTGAACAATGCTCTCGTGGATTCTGTAATTAATTATGGCCTTTCAGCCTATGGACGTACGTTCCGAACGTACATGGATAGGATACATAATCTTCAACTAAGGTTATTTAAACTTTGTTATTTAATAAGCAATGATAGAATCAGGGTTACTTTGCGGAAATCCATTATATAAAAAATAAAAATATAAATTTTTGTTTCTAAGGAAAGTTGAGATTTTTGCTAAAGAGAAAAGTAAGGGTAACTATAATCTATTGTATAAGAAATGCAATATTCTATCAGTACGTGAAAAAACAAAGTATTTATTAGCAATTGAAGGATACAAAAGTAAATTTATGGTAATTTAGGAAAGAATACTCGTAAACTGTTTGAGGAACCAAGTGCGCAAAACTACTTTGGTGAAAGGACCCGTAGGTATTTAGTGCCAAGAATATTTAATGAAAACGTGCCACAAGAGGCCTGTCGGACAAAACAAATTTTTAAAAACAAATTGAAATATTGGCTACTGAATGCCATAGACGACCTGTAGTATTAGTAGTAGTAATATATAGTTTATTATTAATTATTAATCTTAATTAATTTTTATTAATCTTTATTCATTATTAATTTAATATAAGATATTCGTTTTTTATATTTACGCGAACATTGCACATGATTAAAACTACTTTTACGGATTTTATGCGTTTATTATTTAGTATATGGTTACATATGATTTTGTGCTACTTTTACGGATTTTAGGTAAATCCGTAAAAGTAGTTTTAATCATAAGATATTCGTTTTCTGTCTTTTATAGCTTTGTAATTAATATAGTGATAAGTGTACTTTACCTACTTAGTCTTTAGTTTTTAATTACTTTATATGTTTACTAATATGTTTTGTTTTAAATTTTATTTTATAGAAATATTAAAATGCAATTGTAAACAGTTTCGCCAATAAACTGTATTCTCAGTTTGGTGTACTTAATGTTTTTTGAACCAATTGTATTTAATGATTTCTTAAATTTACGCGAACACTACACATTGAATAAAACTAAATTTACGGATTTTTTTCGCGTTTATTTCACTACTTTTACTTATTTTTAATTCCCGACGTTTCGGGTGCTTTACAGCAACTATGGTCACGGGGGGGGGACTGAGATGTTTGACGTCCCAATGTCATAGTTAGTCC